AATCACAGAATCCTAGAGTGATTTGGGTTGGAATGGAGATGAAAGATCATCCAGTCATGCCATGGGCAGGGACACCTTCCACTAGACCAGGTTAAGTAGAGCCCATCCAACCTGGCCTTGGACACTGCCAAGGATGGGGCAGCCACAGTTTGTCTGGGCACCCCTCTGGGTCAATTCTTGACCCTCACAGTCATGAATTGTTTCCTTATATCCCCTCTAACCCTCCTCTCTCTCCGTTTGAAGTCATTCCCCCTTGTCCTGTCACTCCAGGCCCCTGTAAATATGCTCTCTCCATCTTTCTTCATGGCTCCCTTCAGGCACTAAAAGGCCACAATTAAGCCACCCCAATGCTTCTCTTTTCCAGGCTGAACAATACCAATTCTCTCAGCCTTTCCTCCTTGCCTCCTAGACTTGAGGCATGATGGAAAACCCCCAGGCCGACCAGGGCAAGCTGAAAACTGCTCTGGATGCTGGGTGCCCCAGTACCTCTGACACTGACAACAAACCTCTGTCAAAGAGGGACCTGTGGCCATGGCCCAGTGGCCCCATTTCAGCTCTGTGACCTTTTCTTCTTCCAGGTCTTTGTTGTTTCTCGAGGTCTGAGGTGGTGTGTTCCCTTCCTGCATGAAGAAAGACACTCAGAAATCCATTTGAATTTTTTTTGTGCATTCTCACAATATGCTATTTTTTTCCTAGTCTTTAGAACAATTAATTTGGTGCCACATCTTAGGTCAGGATTAATTAGAGATGTCCAGTGTTTGGTATGTGCAGCCTTCCTTCTCTCAGAGAACACAAATCTATAGGATTGCTTTCAGGAACATGGTATGTTATTATCATTAATGTGTGATACTCATTCTGCATATTGCATTATCTACACAAGACATTTTACTCATTTTGATTGTATTCATTTAATATAAAACACTGAGAAAGTTTAAGAGTTGCACAGGTCAAGGACTGCAGTAACCACTGGAAGTTCACACAGCAATAATGAATTGTCTCTTGTAACCAAGAAATGCTGTCTGCTTAACTGTAGTGAATGTGGAGTAATATGTACTAAAAGCAATAGTTCAAAAATACATTTCCAGTTTATTGGATGGGAGCTCAATAATAATCCTTCACTGTGTGTTTTGATTCACTGTTCCATTATGGAAACTGCCAATTTCTCTGCCAAAGTCTTGGCTCAGAAGATTCACAGTTGATCCCCGTGAAAAACAGGTGATTGGATTTTACTCTCATTATCTTGCCTCTAGTTGTGTTGCTTTAAAAATATGATTCTGGCAAAGAAGAAAGGAGAAAGGATGGAGTTTAAAACTACCTTTAAGAATCAGAAATCAGAAAGAGATTACTTGGGCAGGAAAATGGCCAATATTTGCCTCTGGAGCAGTTGATGCTGGCCAGTGTCAGAACCCAGAGGCTGAAACAGGAGGGCTTTGGATCCCATCAAGTTCTTTCTGGTAAAGGAATTATCAGAGGGATAAAGACCTAAACCCAACCCTAAGACATCTGGGTAAATAAAACTCAGAGTGGAAAGAGTACAGACTGGAGGAGAAGCCAGAGAAGGAAAAAAAGATTGGCATGGAAAAGGGATTTAAGGAGGACAGCTTTTCATTATTTGTTCACATGGAAAAAAACCAAAACAGACAAATTGATGGTAAGAGAAGGAAACAGCTGAAAATCCATGTGAGTCTTTTTTAGTTTGTTGGCAAAACAAGAACTGCCTGAGACTTTTGATAACATTCACTGTAGACTTTTAGCAAGAAAGTTGCAAAGTACTGGAAGAAGCTAATGATATGCTAATTTTTAGAAACTTTATTAGGTTTAACCCCAGAAACTTTAAACTGGCTCATTCATTTGATATGAATTCCAGGAAGATTTCCAGAAAACCTTTTGCCTCACCTTGACTAAGGCAAAAATTAAAATGTGGTTGTGTAATGCTGTCTCATCTAACATTTCCTCCAGGCAGAATAAGTATTCACCAACTTCATCATTTTTAATAAAGCAAGAAGTCACTGTTGATGTGATTTACTCTGATTTCTGGGAGGTATTTGAAAGGTCCTGTGGGCCCCTTTGATAAAAGAAATATCAGTACAAAGGCAGCAAACCGACAAAGGTGGGTTAAAGTTGTCCTTGTTCTTGGAATATGGGAGTGAATACATCTGAACATCAGGTTTCTCCAGGAATCTGCTCTTGGTTCCATCTGCTAAGTATCTTCAGAGCTAATAACAATAAATCCCAGGTGAGGACACAGCCACGAATAAACAGAAAAAAGAGCTGGTTATGATACAGCCTTGCCTCTCGAGGAGCAGCATTCATCTGAGCAACATGGATTTTACAAATGTGACATGCCAGGGCACACATCCAGGGACAAGGGCAGGAGGATGGAGCAGCACATTCCCAAGGCAGCAGCTCTGGAAAGGAAGCAGAGGCAGGAGCAGGTAATCAATCAGGCATGAGCTGTGGTGCAGAGGCATTGCTAAACAGCAATGAAAGAAGGAGGCAGGGGGCAGAATTTCTGATTATTAGCGAGATCACCCCGGGAATGCCATCTGCTCCAACGTCAACACCTCCACAAAGGGATGTTGACAACTCAGAGGTGATGAGCAACGTGAGGTCTGTGCAATTTGCCTCAGCAGAGGGGAGGGTACAGCTCTCAAATATTAGTCAAGATAATTAAAAAATACAGCATTTGGAGTATTAAATGCTTCAGTCTGTCAAAAGCTGGTGATATCAAATGACTTGAAGTTTCAAAGATACAGAATTCTGTGAGCATAAATCAGATTTGCAGGTGCTCCATGCCTCTAGGAGCTTTTCTACTTAGGAGCTTAGACATGAAGCCAAGAACATGAATTTTAGTGACTGGCTCTGAAATTCTTGTTTGGAATTAGGGAACATCGACAGCAAGCTGGTTTTGTCACACTCCTTGAAGCCATCTCAGAAGAATCTCTCTGTTTTTCAGCTAAAGGCACGTGGGATCCTGTTGCAGTAAGGTAGAAAAATCATAAAGAAAGGCTTCATAAAATCAAGCCTGCTCTCCTGGAATCAGTAGCTGGCCTTGTCAAAGCTAGCATTTTGCAAGTTCCCATGTGAAACCAATCCTGTTGCGAGCAATTTGTTAATAAAACAATTTATTCCTGGGTAAAAAACAACTTTCACCTGTATAAACTGTTTTTACACCATTAGAGAGAAAAATGAAAATTATCTTTCACAAACAACTTCCCTGCATGTTTACACTGAGAGTTTGACCAATCAATACAGAAAAACAACTTCTTAGTAACAAATAAAGGTAACTGGCAAAAAACTACTAACCAATTAGAGTCCCACATGAGGTCTGTAAAACTGGATTAAAAAAAGAGTTTTGTGACTAAAAAAGGTGATTTATTCTGCAAGCCATCCTTGCCTTGCAGCTTTACACAGAGGGACTGACCTGTTTGCTCAAAAAGCCAAGCATCAGCTCCAGCAGAGCAATCTGCTTCCTATGCCAGCCTTCCAAGCTAAGCTGAATCCTGGTATTGCAGCCTTGTGCTCTGCCCAAGTCTGGATTTTCATCTGAATATTCCTGATTTTGGAGAAAAGCTTATTTGGCTAGGGTACTTGAGTTAACATCTTTGAGATATACTTTGTCAGGATAAAAACTTATTAATATGGCAGAATAACTGACTATGTTTCCTCCCCTCTTAGCACTAAGCAACCAGACAAGGGAAAATGTCAAGTTTTTGGCCATATTTGACACAGGAGTTCAGCACAGCTTTCTGATTTTTTTTTTTTTTCCTTCAGATACATTTAGCAGCATCTATTCAAGGAGCTGTGCAGAAATTCTGTGAGTACTTTGGCATTTTCTCTTGTAATCCCAACACTGCTCTTCGAGGGAAAGGCACCACAGAAATATTTCAGGTACTGTGCTGCCCATGAATCACGCAAAATGCTCTCGCTCCAGTGAGGGTTTCTTTTGAATAGTAGGGAGTTTTCCTGCAATCTTGGACTTCTAAGTGTTTTTCAGATTTCCTGATCATGGAGGGTCTGTTCTTAAAATAATCTCTGGCAGCAGAAGTGCACACAGAGCTCTCCCTGCAGCTGGTGGCAGGTGAGCAGTGACGCCCGTGCTGAAGCCATCTGGGCTCAGTGGCAGGACAGAGAAATGAGGACTGTGGCAGGGCTGGGACCACGCCTTGGGGTGAATTGAACTTCCACATTTCACAGAGCAGGGGTTATAAGAATAGCAAGCACCAAAGAAAGCAGAGAAGTCTTTTATTCAGCTGCTTTTTCACTCGTGTCAGGGGTTGTCATGCATGAGGGAATTAAGCCACACGAAGCAGAAGAGGACATGTCACCCACTGGGGCCACTATAGTGTCACATCTGATGCCTGAATGTCCCCCCCATTGGGACACACTGAGGAAAACCAACAAAAATGTAGGGAGATTGCTAATGAACCACTTGGAGAGAATTTCTAGTGAAAGAATGAATCTTTGGTGGTAGACCTGTGAAAAGAGGAATAGAAATCTTGGCAAATCAAAAATAAGAAGTGATCCCAGGTTAGACAGTATTTTGTTTTCTTTGTAAAATGATTTTTGTGAGGAAACAACTTGTTTTCCTGCTGTTTTTAATTTCCTCCAAGGAGCTGTAGGTTTTTTCTAGAACTGAAATTACAGGCAAGTCTTTTCTGCAAATTTTCAGCACTGAAAATTTTCCTTGTTGAGTGAGGAGAGAGAACATGGGATGAATAGAAATCCAACTTGCCTGAAAGTTTCTGGGTGTCAAATTACATCCAGAAAATCCACAAAACAGCCATTTATTCAGGCTAATTTCAAAAAAAAAAAATCCTTTTCTCTGCCCTTGCACTCCAAATTTCCAAGTGCAAACCTGTACCACCATGGGGTGAATCATTTGGGTACCACGAATGTGACAAAGCTGCAGAGGGAGCGAAACTGCAGGGACATTGTCCAGGAAAAGGGGCAGGGAGAGCAGTGAGGGTGGAGAAAGTATCATCATTATCATCATCATCATCATCATCATCTGCAATTGCTGAGGAGAGGGAAACAGCGTTTTTTAGGAAGGAGGGCAACAAGATGGGAGCTTGTTGCTCCCATTTCCCTCCTTTCTCCCATTTTCCTCCTTTCTCAAGATCCTCTCTCTGGAAGGAGAGAGAAGCAGGGCTTAAACAGGAAAACCTCGGGAGAAGGATGGGGGTTGTGTCACAATGAGAGTAGTGTTTCAGCTCTGGGTAGTTATTATTATCTTAAAAAGTAATAGAATTAAAATGTTTGTTTGGGGTAGCTGAGCTCCACTATGAGACACTTTCTGAATTTTTTTTTTTTTTTTTTTTTGTGTGAATAAAAATACATTTAGAACTGATACTTTAAAATCTCCTTCAGATGCAGTGGTTGCTTTCCAAGCCCCCAGGAAATCCTGGATGCATCTTTAATGTCTGCTAACAGCCAAGTAAGGAAGCTGAACATATTTTTCAGGTGAGGATCCATCACCGGGATATTACCAGGTAAAGGTGAGCGGGTCAGGCAATGTGGGAAGACTTGGAAAAGTACTGATTCAGCACCGCAATGTTTAGGTAAATGCTACAACAGCTCTTTAGAAGAGAAAATCGAGACACTTCTAATGTATGACTCACTAATCACTGTCTGTGCTGTGGAGCCTGGAGTACAAATTCCTTTTGTCATGAAAATGCTCGCTCCTTTGATCCCCACAACATCATTAAACAGTTCTAAAGAGTAAGTAAATCTTTTGGCACATTCTTTGCCAAATAAGCGTTTCAGGATTCAGACGCATGTGGGTGTGTTTGTGATGCTGAGGAGATTGATACCGATACAATTTTTAGCAGCGGGTGCAGACTGTGCTCCTTGCTTTGCCGAGGGAAAGAGGGAGAGAGGTTCTCCCAGCTCCTTTTCCTAAGCAAATATGTCAAAAATGGAAATGTGCAGGGCAGCCATGAGGGATTGCTGCACAGGATTTGCTGGGGCAAATTAAACCTATTTAGCCTGGCCGTAAAATGGCTTCGGATGGAGACATTCCCACATGGAATGTTCTTCCCAAAGGGTTTTGAAGACTTTTATCTTCATTCTGATAGTTCAGGTAAAATATATAGGTGGTCTTTCTGGAGACCCTGATGCTGTTAAGGATACCACGAGCACTTTCCCAGTTAAAAAACAGGATTACAGGCTGGTGGAACACACACTCTGGGCTGTCTCCTGTCTCTGAGGAGGACCCAGTGCAGGCTGAAGGGACATGGAGGTTATTTCCTTTATCAGAATTATAAATTATGGTCAACTTATCACTTTCTCAGCTGCTTTAATACCTGGCAGTGGTGTTTTTTTTTTTTTTTTTCTGGTTCTGTGCACATCAGCCCATCATCCAGTGCCTGGATCTGCCCTGCTGACTCTTTGGAGCTCTGCATCTAGAAAATTTAAGGGACAGGGAGCAGATTAGTTATCCATGAAGATTTCACCAGTGGTTCTCTGGTATTTATCCATTAAATTCACAAGGCTTTAGCTAAAATGGGAAGAGCTTATGAGCTTACTGAAAGAATACTGGGGATCTAAGCCATTCAAAGACACATGACTATTTAGAAGTGTAAGAACAGCATTCTCATGCCACATAGCACTCTGTGTGAAATAAGTTTGTACCCTTCCAACACGCCATCTGGCAGCAAACAGCACATTGGTTTGCATCCCAGCCTGTGATCTTGCAAGGAAAATGAAATCATATGTAATAAACCACACTTTTAAAAGTCAACATTTTCATAATGATCAATTAAACTAATGGACTTAAGTGTGTTTTCAGTTTTCTATCAGAAAATGTTTTGGTAAACAAGTGTCTGCCCTGAGTTGTGATGTGCATATGAGTAAAGGGGTTTATGTCACACTCAGACACGTGTTCTTGGTGTGCATCTGCACCTTGGAGTGCTCAGAACATTCAAATCTGCACTCCTGCCTGAGCCATTGCAGTGGGAGGAATCAGATTATGGGCTTAAGACTGGTACCCAAAATATGGGTGGAAGGAGTTGGATGTTTGAGAGAAAAATGGAGCAAGTCTGTTGATTCAGGAAATGAGAAACTGGTTGGAGTGAGATGCAATCACATGCCCAAGTCGTCCTAGAACTGCATCCTCTCTCTTATTTTGATACCTTAAAATTTCAGGGAAGATGATTCATGTCTGTACTGGGTAAGGCATCTCTCCAATTTAAAGCATCTTCTTTCCAAGCACTGTGATATTGGAAGGGAAGGCAAGTCTGGTGAAAGGAAGTAATGGACACTTGCTTAAAATTCTCAGCAAATCAGGCAAAAAGCTTTCATGTGGTTGGATAATGGACAAGTGTGTATCTTGGAAAATAAACAAGATAAAATACAGGCTGATAGACTTGTTCTTATGAAGTTTTATATGGGGAAATTAGTCTGGCCACTTGATAGCTGATGAAATGATTAGGAAGAACCTTCTATCTAGCTGCACATATAGGGCTGTAGAGATTTGATTATGTGAAAAATAACAATGGAGGCTTAGCTATACAGGGATGAGGATGGGTTAAAATAATTTACAGAGAAATTGCTGTAATTAAAACCACTCTAGCTGGTATTCAGTCAGTTTATCTCCTTCCATTAAGGGCTCACCCTCAAGTTTGCATTAATATTCTCTGTGCCTCATGGTGTTCTAGGAACTCTTTCGTTTGCCACTCCATGAAAATTTAAATTCCAGCCTCCCAGTCAGTGTTTTGAATCACTGGGATATTGAGTAAGTATATAATTCTTAGCTTAGACGTTGAACATCTGTTGCCATTTGTGTCCAATTTGTAATTACAGCAGGGGGAGCTGGACAATCGGAGATTAAAAAGATGCTGCCTAATCTTCCACCACATGTTTCTACTTAAAAAGAATAACACACAGGAGAAATCTCATGGCAGCTCTTGGTGTATCTTCTTCTCCCCTTATCCTTACTCAACAGATCAGCCTTCATTTGATCTCTGTCTGAGATTTCCAGAGTCCTTCTGTTTGGACCTGGGAGTGTGTTCACTCAGACCTGGTTTTAGGGTGTGTTTTGAAGGACTCCATTCCTGGTTTTCCACAGTTAAAATACTGTGCCTTGTGATATTCCTTTGGCCTCTAATAATATCTCTACATGGAGTGATTTTTACCAGCCATTTGGAGAGAATGGGCATTAGGAGAGCCTTTGAGATGGATAACACATTCCTCCCTCAAGATTTCTGCCCATGCCATGGAGTGTGCTGGACATTAGACCAGGAGGAGAGCGTGATGTGTTTTCCTCCTTTCTCAAGATCAAGCTGTAGATTGATCTTGAGGATCTACAAGATTGTAGATTCTCAATCTTGTATTGATTGAGAATCAATTCAGGATTGAGAATCTACAATCTTGAGATTATCTATCAATATTGATTGAGAATCAATGCAAGATTGATTATCTACAATCTTGTAGATTCTCAAGATTTACAAGAATCTTGTAGCTCTTGTATCTACAAGTGGGACTACTTGTAGTAGTAGTGGGACTACTCAAAATGCTTTCCCAGAAGAGCTAGAAGGCAGAGCATCAGGCAAAGGGCAGTAACCAGAGGTTGCAGGGTCATAAACATGGCACAGTGTGCTTTGTCTTACTGCAAAGCAACGTGACCAACATCCTTTGCAAAAGTTATTTAGGCAAATGTTTTACCTAAGAGCTGATTCCAGACAGTGACATTTAAGAAGGGGCAGGAAGGAAAAACTGGGTGCTCAAGAGCAGGCTGGATGGGCCTTTGAGCAAACTGGCCTAGTGGAAGGTTCCCTGGTCACGTCAGGGGGGTTTGAACCAGATCACCTTAAGGGCTCCTTCCAATCCAAACCATTCCACGATTCCTTCTGGAGCACGAGATGATGTTGCAGAAAGAGTGGGAGAGGGATGGGTCACAGCAGAGGAAGGAGGGAGGGAGGCTGTGGGTTTGCATCCTTTCAGGAGATGTGGGGACACGTTAAAGGAGCCCCTCTCAGTGTGCTGCCTACATGGACCTGCTGTGGGTTGGCTGTCATTTGTGAGATGCTGTGGGGGTGTGCGTGATGCTGAGGGAGGAAGTTGTGCCTTTTCATTGACTGGAAGAACTTTCTGTCCTCTGCAAGTCTTTGAAAAATGTGAATGCAAAGTTGTAAGAGATTGACAAAACAGTTGCTGTATTTCAGTGAAAAGTGTTCCACTCATTTTGTACTTGAGAGGGGAAAACGATTTTGCTGCTGGTTGGAATAGCAATATCCAGTGAGATGTGCCCAGTATAGAAAAATATCCATTCTAAACTAATACAGTTTTCATATTTGTGCTGTTGGCTTGTGTGCTTTTCCAAGTACATCCTTCTAGTCTTTATTAAAACTCCAGAAGGTTCGGGTTTTAGGTTTTTTTTTACTTGTTTGTTGTTTTTATTTTTTTCTAACAGCTAATCTAGTGAAAAAATAATTTTCTCTGATTTTCTATAGGATAAAACTGATTTTTTTTTTTTCCCAAAAGAAATTTAACTTGCCTGTCACCTCAAGAGAATTGTGATTTTGTTAGGAATGAGCTTTGGCACTTGAAAGGATTTATTGAGAGATATTTATGAGACACTGAATTTCAAAATGTCAGATGTATTAGGTTCAGCCCTTAATATAATGACATGTTAAGGTGGTCTGCCAGACTTACAGGGTTTTTCTCAAACACCATGTTCTTTTAGCTGCATATGGGCAATTAAAGAAGCACTATTTACTTGTTTACTTTAAAATATAAAAACAGATATACCATAAAGATCCTCAGAATTTGTTTAGATGTGAAATTAATAACAGTGTCATGGATGGGGGGAGTGCACAATGTTGGGTATAGGAAGACGGTCACAATTAATTCTTCCCTTTCCAGTTTAACTGCATTTTATCCCGTCTCCTAGTGCATCTTTAATCCTGGAAAAAGCAAATGAAGATAGAAGAGACCTGGGCATGAACTCAAGGCTTGCTGGAAGCAACAGGAAAGAGTCCCTTAGGCTTTGGTGTGACCTGCAATGGTCCCTGCCCACCCATGTGCTCACTCTCTCTGTGCCTGAGGTTTGTGTTCATTCCTTCCTTCTCCAGCATGCTCATCATGTTTGCCTCAGCACTGAGGGCCTGCACAAACACCTCCTTGAGTTCTGGCCCTGGAACAATCCACTTAGAGAATCATGGAATCACAGAATCCCTGAGATTGGAAAAACCCTCCAAGATGATTGACTCCAACCTGTGATCCATCCCCACCTTGTCCCCAGTCCAGAGCACTGAGTGCCACCTCCAGGCGTTCCTTGGACACCTCCAGGGATGGGGACCCCAAACCCCCCTGGGCAGCCCTGACAATGCTTAACAACATTTTCCTTGGGGAAATTGCTGCTGCTGTCCAAGCTGAGCCTCTGCTGGCCCAGCCTGAGGCCGTTCCCTCTCCTCCTGTCCCTGTTCCCTGGAGCAGAGCCCGACCCCCCGGCTGTCCCCTCCTGGCAGGAGCTGTGCAGAGCCACAAGGTCCCCCCTGAGCCTCCTTTTCTCCAGGCTCAGCCCTTCCCAGCTCCCTCAGGAATTCTCCAGCCCCTTCCCAGCTCTGTTCCCTGCCCTGGACACGCTCCAGCCCCTCCAGGTCTCTCCTGCAGGACCAGAACTGGGCACAGCCCTCGAGGGGCCTCTCAGAGCCAGCCCAGAGGGACAATCCCTGCCCTGCTCCTGCTGGACACACAATTCCTCATCCAGCTCAGCTGCCAGTGGCCTCTTGTCCCCCTGGGTACCCCTGGAATCGTGTCCAGCCCCTGTCACAGCACCCCCAGGGCCTTTTCCATGAAGCCACTTTCCAGCCATTCCACCCCCAGCCTGTATCATGAAATTAGAGCAACTTCAAGGGGCTGAAATGGAAAAATAACAGCATACAGGGAGTTCTGGTATGTGTCAGACCACTTTAGTGAGGGACACATCAGGGAAGCTGTTCCTCATGAGCTAAATTCTTTGTTTTCTCCATCCAAGATAAACACCAGACCCTTGGACATCATGAACTTGAGCCACTGGCCCTGGCCAGGTGAGTTTAAGCCTGTGGAGCATTTCTTGCCTGAATCACTTCTCTGGTTCCAGCAACACAGCGTGTGGAGCAGCAAAATGCAGACATTGAACTTCAAGATGACAGATTATTTACAGAAAATGTGTGGGTGTGTGGCTGTGTGTGTTTGTCTGCAGTTTTTGTGCTGCCGAAATGCCAGTGGCCATTTCACTACATTTATAAACTTTGCAGAGCGTTTAAACCATCCACAGGAAAACATGGGGAGGTTTAAGAGTCAGCAAATTCATGACCTGCATGGTTCTGGATGTAGCTGGCATGGCTCATTCTCAGTCATTTTTTCAGTCAATACTGAAAAAAAATATTCTTTTATTACACCATTACTGTTTACTTGGTTTTCTAGTTATTCACTTTTTGACTTCTTTGTTTTTTCTAGAGTGTGTTTTTCCCAAGGATCTTCAACCCACCTGCATTTCACAGAACTATGATTGCCTCAAAAATATTTCAGGAGTTTTTGCTGTAAGCTTACATTTTTTAAGGGGTTGCATAATACATTTTTCTATCTTCTATGGCATCTTCAGACAAACATGTCAGGAGAAACATACTTAACACAGTAGAATTTAATTATGCATGAAAGTGCATCAAAATCCATGCCAGCCTTTGGACCAGAATAATGGTACAAGCATCTTCACAAAGATTTGCTGGATTTTGCCAATATATGTTTCTTAGAGTAGCTATGCTACTGCTTTGTTTTGGACATGCATGAAATCTTTATTTGTATGTGTTCTTCAGTCACATTTACTCTGTCTGTATATAAACAAATGAGAGCATCCAGCAATGTGATTTCATGCATTTATCTCAAAGTTTATGATGAAAATTTGGTGACAGAAATATACTTCCAGAACAACAGACCTTATTGGAGCTTTCTTCTTCCCCTTACTTTAAAGACCTCCTTGTTTTACTGATCTGTGATTTTTTGCTTCAGTGATAGTGATTTATATTACAGAATCATTTACTGCCAGTAATGGATATGTTGGTACTCACAATCCTTTTGATCATTCTAAGCTGAAGAAATCCTCCCAGTGGAAGATCACAAGGAAAAATCAAGTTCTAGTTTTCCATTGATACATCTGCCCTCACTAGGTGGTGGCCTGAGTTCAATTTATCTAATATTGTGCAGAAAATTTGTGGCCAAAGGTAGGCTGGAACCCTGAGTTTTTGTTTTCCCCATTGCCCACAGTAAGATTGCCCTATGGAGGAGCCCAAGGGTTGTGCAGTTGTGTTATTTCACAAAACACCTCTTTCAACATGAAAATATCCTTTGTTTTTATGATTAAATGGGCCCAGATTTTAAAGTGCAGCATGTGCTGTCTGCTCTTCTTTCCTCCTAAACATGCTTTTAGAAAATGACTGCAAATTCTTGCCGAGCGATTATAGAGTGACAACTGCAGGAAAGCTTCAGCTCTGCACAAAAATGATTGATGGTCAGTGGTGGACACCTGCATATTGTGCCCCTCTTGAAATACATTCACTCAATCTCAGGGGCATTCATTTAATCTAAACTGCATTTTGCAAACTTGAGCACACTGCTCAAGTTGAAGGGAAGTAGGTTTTTATTTTTTGACAGTATTCATTTGTGGGAATAGTGTATAACATGGAATGTGTATTACTATTCCTCTCAAAGAGGAAAGATCTGGACACTTGCTGAGGATGAGATGTACTTCCGAAGTCCTGTTCCTTAAAATTCAGTAAAAATAGCCAAGCTCTTCCCTCACAGACACCACTTAATTTGTTCACTCTTGGTGACAGTCATTTAGTATTTCAGGGGCTGCAGAACCTGCAGCTTGTATCTCTTCAGAGAAGAAAATTTTATCTTCTGTCTCATTAGCTTCCTTCCAAGTTCATAATTCTTTTCCTGTGCCAGGAAATGTTTGCAAAGCTTCCAGTCTCAGAAATTCCTTATCATTTTCACAGTGCTGTCGCTGTTTCAGTGTGTTTTTCCATTGACTCCACCAGGCTCTGCATCAGGCCAATAATGGCTATTTGTCAGTGTATCCAGGAGTTATATTGACCTGTATCATGCCAAATTTCATCAGAGTGTTTGCAATTCCCGAGCTTTTTGGCACAGTAAGCATGTTACATAGTTGGCAATGCTCAGAAATTGCAGTTTTGCGGTGCTAGGAAAATAATCATAATAATACTATATTTCCTATCTGCTAATGGGAAACATGAAGTTCTTTTAATTAATCCATAGGCTGCTGTTCTGATGGGGGCATTTGTCTCTCCACCACCCTCCCCTGCCCTAACAAAATAGATTTTCTGACATTTCTGTGACCTCTTAGAGAAAGAATTAGGTGCACAGTTACCAAGCAACAGAAAGTCAGGCAACACACTTTCGAAGCCCTCTAATTGCCCATAATGGTAAGAGCAGCATCCACGTTCACAAAAGCTTCATATTCTTGGTACTTACTCTGCTGCAGGAACTCATTTACCTTTTATTGCCAGTGTGGTGTTAAGCTGTAACCACCAAAGGAGGAGGTGGAAGTCTGAAGGCTCTGGAGCCTTGGAGCTGCTGTGCACATAGAGGGCCATAAGGATTGTCATTTTCACAATTCATGCCTCACATTTCACTTATCCAGAATATTTTAAGTGCTAAGTCACAAGAGAGAAGGCACATTCATGTCTACAATACTAAAACCAAAGTGAAGGCAAAGGAAAAATAACTTACAAAGTCTTTCAAAGATTTAAATGAGAGACCAAAGAAAGGCTTTAAAGCACAATGTATTCTGACAACTTATCCTCTAAGGATTTAAAATGACATGTTTCATGAGTCACACAATGAAATCTCTATGGGGGGTGGGGGAGAAATACATGAATACATGTTTGAGACTTTGAAGAGTTTTGGTTTTTTTCTCCTCCAGCTTGTGCCCTGATGCATGTGAGGAGTCAAAATGTCCCCTCCTTGCAGGACATATCTGGGACACTGAGTGCCACTCCTTCCTGAAGCTTTTCCAAGCTTTTCCATTTTATCCAACAACTGTAGCAGTCTCCATCCACTTTTCACAACCCATTTTCCTCAAGGGGGATTCAGGAAGTGTTTTTCCTCAGGCACTGTAGAAAAGGAGACCATCAAGAGGGGACAGTCCAAGTCTTTGCCACTGGACATTTTGGCTTTCCTGTGGAGGATGGTGCTGGGCCAAGTGACAGTCACTGACTCCACTGTCCTGCTGCTGTTCCTTGAGGAAGCCCTTTCAATCCTGAGTGGGAGAGGTGGTGTGTCTGTGCTCTGGGTGTCAGTGATCAGCTTTCTCCAGCAAGGGGTCGTTTTTGTGTTCGAAAAAGGGCTTCTTGGTATTTCTGTGTGTGCTTTCATTTATTTTCAAGCATACACACGTTGTTCATTAGAAAAAAATAAAGCTCTAGAGCTTCCTTCTCATGTCATTTGCACTGGAGTTTACTCTGGCAAAGTTAATAGACATTAAATTGTCATACATGAAGACAGGGCTGGAAACTTCAGCTTTTGGTCCCAAGAAAACTGTGAGCTGAGCTTGGCACTGTGAGCAAGAAAGCACCTTGCACATGAGCTGTCTCTTCAATACATTTTTTTTTCCTTTTACTTCTGTCCTGCAGCAGAAATGAGGTTTAATGGAGAGGTATTATGGAATGGAGGTGAAATGGCCAAGGGCTCAGCCATGCAATCTGTCACAGGCTGTAGCTCCAGCCCAGCAAAGCCCAGAGGCATCCAACACCTTTCAGAGAGACTCACAAAATGATACAATTCTTCAAAATCAGCCATGAATTGCCAAGAAACATGCACACAGGGTAGGTGGGGACTCAGAATTTTGAATTTAGAGAGAATAAAAAGAATCTGGGGTTAAAGTATCTACATGCACATAGACATTTCAGCTGTGTTTTTCTATTTAGGGCCTTTTTACTTCAATGTCTGTGCAATTACCACCATTTCCAGTGGAGTTACTTTGAAAATACTATGTAGCTTCTTGTAGCTGTCTAATTAACTTGTCTCATGACTGTAAGTGGATGTACCAAAATTTCTAATGTGGAAAGGACTTCTTTGGAACCATGCTCTGAAGATTCAAGAATATTTCTGCTGTTTTCAGTTCTAAGGGTGGTATTGTTTGGAGACGCACAGCCTAGAGGCATGAGAGGAAAGTGAGAGTTATTGTGTTTGCCTAGTGTCTAAAATGAAGATATTTTTCCTGGTTTTGGCTAGCCTGTTTTTAATAGGAATTGATCATACCGTGAATTAGAATTTCCATTAGGAACTGCATGTTAGAAAAGTAGAAGTAGCTCTGGCTGAATTTGGACTTTTATGTCTATAGGGTCTCTTAGAGCATGTTTATGCTGAGTCTTGCTGTTAATATGGAAATAAAAATTACAGTTATACTACCCCCTTAAATCTTGCCCACCTTTCTATTATTATAAATTTAAATATTAACAGTGTAATCAGCACTACTGTTGGTAGATACATCAAGGCAGAAATATCAAGGATCCTCTATATGAGCCAGGTTGACAACTGGGAATAAGACTGGAGAACCAAGTTGTTGTGGAAGACTGCAGAAAAGAAAGTTCCCATTCTAGTTTTTTTTTTTTTTTATTTTTCACTATTATTGCAAGAGTTGTAGAAGCAAAGCTGGTGTCCAGAACATCTCACCTGAATTTTGTGTAGCATCAACAATAGTTGTATCAGGGTTTTGATAGCAGAAAGCCACACGGATGTGGCTCTCTAGGAAAAATAAACCTTCACAGGAAGGTAGCTTTAAAGAAAAGATTCATGTGCACAAGCATCTCCTGCAATAGCCTAATGAAGGCTGAAATAATTCCCGATGAAAAAGTTGCTATTGACTCCAGTGAGGGCAATGAGAGAGTGAGATAAAAGTGTAATAGTTAGATACTTTCATGATAGAGGCACCCCCTGGAGAAAGATCCCATGGTGTTGCCCTGATTTTTAAAAGTGTTTTCTTTTATAGTTCTTTTGAAAGTTTTAAAGTTCTCATAAAACTTCTTTAGCCTTCTGATAATGTTTACACATCTGAGAGTCAGAGTTCCCACACAATTTCATGTATAAATAGAATAGTTTACATATGTCTCTGTGGGTGGAGAGAAAGGATTGACTGATCTTTGGACCAGTGTGGTTGGAGAGGTGGTAATTCCATCCTCCAATCCATGGTCACCTTTGGAATTCTGTAAATACCAAATGTTTGAATAAAACTGGATCTTTTTCTCTTTTGAAGTTACCAAGTTTATGTGTACTCATTTTGTACTCATTTCATGTCCAATAGTGGTTCTCTCTAACTGGGCATGGTTTTGTTGGTACAAAGATACCGACCAGAAAAATAAGGGTTTCCTATTGGATTTCCATTGCTCATTCTTCTCCCCAGTCCAAAGGACACACTCATCCATACATGTAACTATCCACATATGTTCTCTCCAAACTCTTTGTGAAAGCTTTGCAAGCCTAAACCACTACTATCTCTCTCTAAACATCCTGCAAGGAATAAATCCAATATACCTCTGATGTTTTTCCTCTTAGTGCTTAGCATTAGACTGCATAGCAGAATATTAACCATCAGCCATGAATTTTCTTTATTATTATAACAGCTTTGATAAAGTCCCTGAAAGATTATTACTAGAACTTTAATCCCCCCAGCTCACATCCCTGGACATTTCTATGTGGGTTACTTCAGAACATTGAAATTCTGTGTTCCAGCCAAATCCTAATTACAGGGTTGCACCTCTACACCACAACAAATTACATGGGCACCCCTCAGTCACCTGCCTTAGGAAAATGCCAGAGGAAGTGATCTCTAGGGAGAAATCCCTTTTCTGGTGGGTGTGGGGGAAAAAAAGAACTGCATAATTTGGAAACAAGTTGAGTTATCTGCACAGTTAAACAATTCCTTTCTGTGGGCAACAATGGTTCACTCTGTCCTTGCAGTGTTTTCAAAGAGGAGCAGGTCAGACCTTTACCTCCCTTGCAGCACAAACCCACCTGGGAAGTTTTCTAGCTCTTTCTCCCACCTTGAGGATCTTTGGCTCTGATCTAGACACACCCTTTTTTCCCCATCCCCTCTATTCAGAGTGGAATCTAGATCTGCCAGTAGAGAAAAATATGAAAATATCTGTCATTCTCAAATTCCAATCTCCTTTCTGCTGATGGCACTTCTGGATTCTGGACTAGCAGCCCTCAGCATCTCACCCTCTGCAGACTTCTCTAGCTCTCAAAAATAGAAAATTGCTCTGGGATTTTTCCTGGAAGGCACCATGAGTTTGCAAAAATGCTTGCTGCAGAGAACCTCAACTGAATAGCAACTCTTATGAATGTGCTCAGGAAAAATCACTCCTATATTGCTGTGGAGTGTAACCATAACTGTAATTTATTTATTTCATGAATACCATGCAATATTACAGGCATAGATTAGTCAGTCAAGTCAGATGTAGGTGGCTGGGGCTTTTGGCACTTGTTATGCAAATAGCAAACAGCAAACAGCAGTAGTAACTCAGTCCTAAAGGTAATGACAACATATATCTGCTGCCTTATTTTGTGTGCTCAGGCTGCTCCTCGGAGCTGTCTGCACCTTGGGGCGAGTGTCAGGGGAAGACTTACTAGTTCCAGCCATGCACATGTAATATTAAAGCGCCAGGGAGCTATGGATGGCATCACCCTGCTCACTGTCAGACCCTCCTCCTGAAGGCAGTGAGAACCATTTCACAGAATCACAGAATGACTGGGTTGGAGGAGACCTTCAGGATCATGGAGTCCAACCCAGCCCCAACACCTCAACCCACCCCTGGCACCCAGTGCCACATCCAGGCTTTGTTAAACACACCCAGGGATGGTGACTCCACCACCTCCCTGGGCAGCCATTCCAGAACTTTATTACCATTTCTGTAAAAACTTTTCCCTGCTATCCAACCTGTATTTCCCTTGGCTCAGCTCGAGGCTGTGAGCTCTGGTTCTGTCAGTGCTGCCTGGAGAAAGAGCCCAGCCCCAGCTGGGCACAGGCACCTTTCAGGAGCTGTGGGGAGTGACAAGGTCACCCCTGAGCCTCCTTTTCTCCAGGCTGGACACCCCCAGCTCCCTCAGTGCTTCCTCACAGGGTTTGTGTTCCCAGCCCCTCTCCAGCCTCATTGCCTCCTCTGGACATGCTCAAGCAAGGAACAGCAAGGAACAGGCTTGTTATCCAGCTTGGAACATGGCAGCAATACAGCTGGGACTGATTGCTGCTTGTCTTCATCTGCTTGGCTCCAAAACTGTCACACTTTCACCCTCTGATGTCTGGGTCCTGCCACAGATCATCTTGGATCTGCTCCTAACTCTGGAGGGCGCAGCTCATGAGTAATTTCTGTGTCTGGCTCTTACAGACCCACTCCTGGAGGTGTGTGGATCCTGGGAAGGAGGTTCAGGCAGGGGTTCAGAGAAGCTGAGGCAGCAGAGGGCTGGCTGAGGGACTCACAGCTGCTTCATCCCTGCAGTGAGGAGCTGTCCCTGGTCCTTGTGGTCTCTGCAGAGCCGGGGTGTGTGCCCAGCACCGCGCTGGGCTCTGGGTGCCTTTGTGGAGCTGTCTGGAGCATCCCTCTGGAAAATGGAGCTTTAAAAGGGAGCACTTTGGGTTTGGTCACCCCAGGTGCCCCCGTTCCTGGTGGTGACACAGGGCCCCCCACACTGATGGAGGACTGGCCTTTGCAACAGAACTGACACTATTTCCTGGAAACAGTTTTCTTTTAAAAAATGAAAGCGGTCTCTTCAGCCAGGATGAATGAAGATGAAGAGAAAGATTTTTGTTTTGGAGAGCAACATTCTACAAAGTCTCCATTCCCACATTATTTTCAGCTTTGACAGCCAAGAGGAGCAGAAGTAAAATGGGAGAAAATCTCAAACTGAGGATCCTTTCTTTTCCTTTCTGGACTTCCCCTACTCAGGCAGATGTGGCTCTGTTTAGCTTTCTCTTTTTAATTTTTTTTTTTTTTTTTTTTTTTTTATGAAAAGAGTTAAGCAGACAGCTTTTTGACTTTGACTTGGTTTGTCCTCAGTGCTTTTGTCTTCTCACCTCAGATCCTTACTGGTCATCCCTGTGGACTCCCTACATAGGCTCAGCAGGGAAATCCCGTCTGGGGACTGGATTTGCAGGGCATTTGCTGCAGACCAGGCTTCCAACCTTCCAGGAGCATTCCTCACTCACAGCTTCCCAGCTCAGCTGGAGAGCAGAGTGCCCAGCCCTGTGAGTAGGGCAGCTTCACCCCTTCTCACTACATTAATTTTCCTGAGGAGAGTTGCTCCAAACCTTCATGGGTGGCAGCTTTGCTGTCCCTCAGAGGTGACCTTCAGTGTGGGTTTGGCTCGGGGTGGTAAATTCTGTGCACAAGCTCTTGGAGAGTGCAAGCTGCCACAGGGTGAGCAGGTTGCAAACTCCTGGGTGCTCCAAATTAGTTTTTAACACTTCAGACAGACTCTTCAGGTGCTTCACTCAGCTGTTATCTCCATCTCTGAGTTTTTTTCTGCAATGCTTTGCCAACAGAAAGCAAGATCCTCTAAATAACCTTTTCCTCATCTCCTGGAAGGCCCTTTCAATAAGAGAAAATGAAAGTATAATTTCTGATGTAAATATGTTCACTTTCTGATTCTGCTTTTACCGATTGGATACACCTTATTGTCCTATTTACCCACAAATGAGAATAAGGCCAAATCTGATCCTTTTCAGAAGCAACACAGGTTTGATTTTCAGGCTCACAATGACCTGTGAATGCTCAGACTTGGTGGTGTGGGAATCCAGGGCTTCCCTCTGGCTGCCCTGGCAGGTCTGGGACCCTGGCAGGGGTCAGGAACCCCCCTGGACAGAGCCCCCAGAGACACTGTCTGTGATCTCTGTCCATGGAAAAGAGTTTTCAATCTTACAGGGTGAATTACAAGTTCTGAGTGTTTGATATGAGTAATAATTAAGTGTGGCACGGGTGCAAAAGTAAAATTTTAGGATTCTATATTAGGGGTTCAAAGGGGACAAGATGGAGGAAATTGGGTGTGCCTTGTCCTTTTCCTCCTTCTTCATGCCCTCCATGTTTCACTGTGGTGTTGGCATTTTTCTGTTGGTTTAAGCTGGGGACACACTGTCCAACGTAGGTGACAGATATTGGCACGTTATTGTAAATCCAGCACAGGTAGTTTCTGGTATTTAATGTTTGTACCATCCCACTGAGGGCAGAGCCCCACACGCTGCCCTGCAGGACAGAGCTGCGGCAGGGCAGCAGAACATGTTAGAGATAAACAGAATAAACAGCCTTGAAACCAGCACAGATGAATTATGGCTTCTTCTTTGGCAGCGGGGCAGAAAGACAGAGACTTTCTACAATCTTGCAATCATCAATAGCTCAGATTCTGACAGCTGGAAGCTGGGAA